CAAGTACAAGACCATGTTCCAAGTAGAGACTCTGGTCTTTGACTCAGACTAGGACTCCCGGGTCTGTGAGTTGCGGCCCTTATGAAGGGACATTGTTAATGCTTGTAACGCCCGTGCTTGCCAAAGCCGGAGACAGCAGTTTGAACTGGTCCACATTCAATGGCTACACCGTATCATGAGATGGAAGCTGGAACCACTTTGTTTCATGAGGCATTTTACTTCTCTAACCTCTGTACATTTTGCAGAGTTCACTGAAATTCATTAAGACTTTCAGAAGACCTAGTCATTTAAAAACTGATCACCAGTTTTATTTGAAGATAGAAAATCAAACCCTAACTCAAATTTAAGGTAGTTGACTTTTTTTTTTTTTTTTTCCTTTTTTTGAGACAGAGTCTTACTCTGTCACCCAGGCTGGAGTGCAGTGGCGTGATCCTGGCTCACTGTAACCTTCACCTCCCAGATTCAAGTGATTCTCCTGCCTCAGCCTCCTGAGTAGCTAAGATTACAGGCTCACACCACCACACCCGGCTAATTTTTGTATGTTTAGTAGATACAAGGTTTCACCATGTTGGTTAGGCTGGTCTAGAACTCCTGACCTGGTAATCCACCCGCCTCAGCCTCCCAAAGTGCTGGGATTACAGGCGTGAGCCACCACACCCGGCCAGTAGTTGACTTTTGATATTCTTTGCTAAGCGTACTTGAAAACCAGTCAGTTCCTTCCAAAGTTAACATGAAATGGAGAAAGAAAAAGCTACCAGGGAGGAGAAAATTAAAAGCTGATTTCACCTAACATAATGTCCTCAAGGTTCATCCATGTTGTTGCATATTGCAGAATTTCATTTTTTAAGACTGCGTGATACTTCATTGTATGTATAGACTGCATTTTCTTTATCCATCTATCAATGGCTATTTAGGTTGTTCTCATATCTTGGCTATTGTGAATAATGCTGTAATTGAACGTGGGCGCGTAGATGTCTCTTTGAGACGCTGATTTCAATTCTTTCACGTAAATATCTTGAAATAGGAATGTTGGATCATACAGTAGTTTTAGTTTTAATTTTTTGAGGAACGTCCACACTGTTTTTTCATAGCATCTAGACCATTTTGCATTCTTGCCAACGGCATGCAGGGGTTTTAATTTCTCTACATTCTTGCAGGCACTTAGCGTGTTTTGTATTTTTCGTAATAAACATCATGAGAGGTGTAAGGTGGTATCTCATTGTGGTTTTAATTTGTGTTTCTCTGATGATTAGTGACATTGGGCATCCTTTCATGTACCTGCTGGCCATTTGTATGTCTTCTTTACAGAAATGTCCTCTCGGGACTTTGGCCCATTTTAAACTGGGTTGTTAGTTTTTTTGCTATTGAGTTGTAGGAGTTCCTTATATATTTAAAAACTTAACCCCTTACTTTATGCTAAATCAAAGAAGCTAGTCACAGAGGGAAAGAACTGTAGGACTCCACTTATATAAGACATCTAAAGTAGTCAAATTCATAGAATCAAAGAGGGAGCTTGTATTGCCAGGGGCTGAGGGAGCAGGAAGGGGGAGCTGCTTATCGGTGGCCTCGGGATTTCTGTGGGGCTGGTGAGGGCTGCAGCCGTAGTCAGCAATACTGTATTGTAAGCGCAAAACTTCAGAGGGTGCTCTCACCACCATAAAATACCGTTAAAGAAAATGAACCTCAAAAGTAAGAATTCACACTTAGAGTGAAAGCAAAACAAATGCTTTTGTGTATGCCAAGGATGAGTATATTTTAAAAATCTTTTTCATTTGTAGCATAATTGTTTAAAGCTAAATGAAGATTGCTTTCTCATGGACTTACATGTAAATAAACATTTCTGTTGCTCAACCAAAAGTAAAGTAAAAAGCTGAGTAATTGTATTGAAAACATGGAACCCACTTTATTCAACACAGTGAGCATTTAGAATATAGCTAACCACCACACACTAGGATCTGTCGGGGCTGGGGGGCTAGGGGAGGGAATAGTGGGGTGTGGGGAGATTGGGGAGGTATAACACTGGGAGAAATACCCAGTGTAGGTGACGGGGGAATGGAGGCAGCAAACCACCATGGCATGTGTGTACCTGTGCAACAGTCCTGCGAGATCTGCATGTGTACCCCAGGACTTAAAGTGTAATTAAATAAATATTAATTTCACCATCATAAGAAAAAGAAAATGTGATATATATGGATTGAAAAAATATAGCTAGACTATTCTCACTGGCCAGATTTGTCTGATAATTTCTTCATTCTTCCTTTAACCCTAACTGGATGGATTCCTGACACTGAGGCAGGAGGACTAATCTAATGAGGGTGGATTCTGAGGATCCTTTCCTGATGGGCCATGAGTTCTACCATTTTAGGCTGAGTAGAAGGGTCTGGAGCTCTGCATAGGGATGATGTCAGAGGAGAAGGAAGAGGGGTTCAGTCCGCCCTGTGCACACAGGCTGTGTACTAAGATGAAATGTAGCGGAGCACGTGAAGCCGTGTATCTGCTGTCAGACAGACTTGGCCTTGCGTCCCAGGCTCACCCATGAGACTGAATCTAAGGAGAGGTGCCTTTTGCTGTTCTGCTGAGAAGTCCACCGCCACGCCAGTTGAACACATTTATCATGGATATGAGTTCGTCAGTATTTTTTGGCACTTTCTTCAGTATTAATCAGACAATCCATTCAAAAAACATTTTTCCAAATGCTCGCTTTGCACCACTTCCTGCTGCCCTGAGAAAACCGGATGAGTTGGAAGAGCCGGTGGGCCCCCAGTTGGGAGGGTCTGCAGTTGCTAGAGGCCCGAACCAAAGGAAAATGTGGCCATCTATACCTAGGTGGCGATGCAGACACCCTCCTTTCAGACATGACCATAGTTGGTCACTTGATCGATTAACCGAAAAACTGATTCAAGTGAAGAAATATCAGGACATTATATTAGGTGCCTTAGACATTTCTTTTAACTTAAGCTATGAAAACATTAGTTTTTTTTTTTTTCACCAATTTTGTAATGGAGAAGGAAAACCTCTTCTCTGAGGATGGATGTCTGCCAATTGGACTCCCAGGTCACCTTCTGATAGGGTGTGGCTGTGTCCCCACCCGAATCTCATCTTGAATTGTAATCCCCAAATTCCGATGTGTTGACGGAGGGACCTGGCGGGAGGTGATTGGACGTGGTTTCCCCCACACTGTTCTTGTGATAGTGAGGAGTTGGCACAAGCTCTCAGGGGTTTAGAAGCATCTGGCAATTTCCCTGCTTGCACTTCTCTCTCCTGCTACCATGTGAAGAAAGCCCTTGCTTCCCCTTCACCTTCTGCCATGATTGTAAGTTTCCTGAGGCCGCCCCTCCAGAGCTGTGAGTCAGTTAAATCTCTTTTCTTTATAAATTGCCCAGTCTTTATAGCAGTGTGAAAATGGACTAATATACCTTCCTCACACAAAGCATGCCTATAATGAGAGTTTGAATCCAGTTTCATTGCATACGTGAGCATGTGTGTGTGTGCGTGTGTATACACATAGAAAGGATTATAAAAGACTCTTGTGAAGCAGCCTGGGAGCCTAGTTTTTTGATTTAGTCCTCATCATTTACAGTTGTTTTGCCCACACCCAATTGGACAGCAGTCTATCTTGGCTACTGGCTAAATCTGTTTTCATGAGAACAACTTGGCCTTTGTCCTCATATTTCATTGGTTAACTCAATGTGTAACCACATGTATGAATTGAAATAACAAGTATCACTGGCATCAGTAGATTTAAGAATAAATACAGTTGAAGGTTGGTAAGCCTGCCCCCCTCTACTGATGGGGGCAGTCACGTGTGGGTGATCAGAGAAGGCCCCGCTGGCCCAAAGTTTAGAACACATGAGCGCCAGGCAGAGTATCCACCAAAGGACATGGGTGACTTCAGCTGATCCAACTCCACATGGGAGCTGGCCAGGGGAGGATCTCTGTAGGCAACAGGTTGTAGGGGTGGCCTGCAGGCATGCAGAGGATAAGACAGGATGAGCTTCTCTTGGGGAGACACCACATGAGGCACCAGGTAGGGGAGTTGATGGAAGATGGTCAGACATCTGTGAGCAAACTAGGAAAACGTGGCTCTGGAGCAGAATTTAGAGACCTCTTTAATTAGCTCTGTGTTCATCTCTTCTCCCGAGCTGCCAGTGATGTGAGGTCTTCTCCTTGTGGTCCATTACCTGTCACGTGGAAAGCATCTAATATTTTTGAATGAATGAAAGTGCATTTTTTTGTTGTTCCACTGAGATTGTTGAAAGTTGGTCATCCTTATACACGTTAGGTCATAAGGAGCTCTGGGCCAGCAGACTGTGGGCCACTGGGTATCGTGTGCTCCTTGTCTTGGCTTAGCCCAGTGAGGGCATGTATCTACGCTCAGATCACTGTTCAGCTCACAGTGTGTGATCAGCCCTCCAGGCCTGGACAGGCATCCTGGTATCTCTCAGGTATAGCTGAATAGGGAAGGTGACAGGTATGATCTTGTTAGACTCAGGTATAGTGATATGAAAGACATAAAAGCCATACTTTATAATGAGTTTGAAGGCTTCCGTTCAGGACATTCTATTAGTCAATATCTAGGATGGTTCCCAGTGATTCCCCTTAGCACAATGATTTATCTCTAAGGAACAGAAACACTTAGGCCATGAATATTGGAATATTTAATGTAAGAAAACAAGTCTAACCATCAGAAGCTTAGAGTTTAAGAACTGTCGTGTCACAGTTTATTATCAGAGTTAACATACTTCGTTGATTTATTGTTATTTAGCGAGTGCTATTAGTGTCTGTCATTTGCCCAATTTCTCTTGAATCATAAATAAGCAAATCCTCACCCTGTATTTCTCCAAAAACGCAAGACTGGGTCTGCTCTGTGAGAACCACTCTCACCTTATGTCAGTTTCTGTATTTAAGACTTGATTTATGTTGGCGTGGTCCGCTAGCACCTGCACCTGGAAATGAGAAGCCTGTAGCATAAGCGTTCCTCTCCCCTGCTTCTTGGACAGCTTGGGCATGAACCACGACGATGACCACTCATCCTGCACTGGCAAGCCCCACATCATGTCAGGAGAGTGGGTGAAAGGCCGGAACCCCAGTGACCTCTCCTGGTCCTCCTGCAGCCGAGACGACCTTGAACACTTTCTCAAGTAAGTCCCAGAATGATTCTTTAGGATTAGTGCATAGAAAGTACTTCTAAAAGACAAAAGTATCGGAGTCTCAGCAAATGTGAAGTAGGAGACGTGACTTTCATTTGGGATTTGCATCTGGCCTCAAGAGGCGGTCAGTGTGGAGTGTCCTGTGATGGCGAGAATACCTCCCACGTGCACATCTGCTCCAGTGTTGGGGGCGCAGTCGGTGATCATTATGTAATCATTGATCGATTGAAATACCAACATAGTCACCTGTCTTAAGAAGCCCGTGTCATTCCTCTGCACTGTTGTGACTGTGTGGTCACCAGGGCGCCCGTGGGCTACTGCAGAATGGAGCGTTTCCTGGGGTGGAAGTGAAGGCCGCTTCCCTCAAGATGAAGCGAATTTGCTGGGAGTTGGGGGTGGATTTGCTCCCCTTCTTCACCTCAGGGGAGGGGAGGGCTGTGTTTATATCCCTGCTGCTTTCTTCCCAGACGATGTCGGCATCCTTCCATTCTCAGATTTCTGTGGAAGCATCGGCCATCTGGTTTGAGACCTTTGTCGAACAGTCTGTACCCGCGGACAGTGTAGATCCCTTAGTGTCAGGGTCTCAGGGTTGGTTTACAGAGTGACCGTACAGAGCCCGGCCACTGCAGTACTTAGCCATGTTAACGCGTGCACCCTGGGAGACAGCAGTGAGTCGGCGAGTCTCAGCCGCCGATGAAGCTTCTCAGTCCAGTAACACAGTCAAGTTCCCGGTGAATTCAGGATGTAGTGGCAAAGGTGCCATCCCAGGTCTTTTCTCATGATGTTCCCTGTTGATGGGAAATTGTTCAGACGTAACCAGCTTAAAAATGCACTCGTTACCACAGTCTGTATCCTACTGAGTGTTTGTTACCACAGATCTTAGGAAGTGTTGTCGGTGCTTTGATGTTATTTTGCTTTATCAAGAAGGTCACGGCGACGAGATGGGTGCTTTCTGTTTGTTTGGTTGGTTGATTGGTTTTGTTGAGATGCAGTCTCACTCTGTCTCCCAGGCTGGAGTGCAGTAATGTGATCTCAGCTCACTACAGCCTCTGCCTCCTGGGTTCAAGCAATTCTCCTGCTCAGCCTCCCCAGTACCTGGGATTATAGGCGCACATCACCACAGCCAGCTAATTTTTGTATTTTTAGTAGAGACAGGATTTCACCATGTTGGCCAGGCTGGTCTCAAACTCCTGACCTCAGGTGATTTGCCTACCTCAGTCTCCCAAAGTGCTGAGATCATAGGCGTGTGCCACCATGCCTGGCCAAGACGAGGCATTTTTATTTGCTCACGTACACAGCACTAGTCCCACTAGTGACAAGTGGTGTATGCCTGAGCCCAGGAGAATTAAACCAGGATCAGCCTGTGTGTCTTGTGCTCATGCAGCTTTCCTTAAGAATCTTGCCAAGTGACTGGGTTTCCTGCCCGAAACCATCTGCCTTGTTTTAGAAATTAAGAAATAAAAGCATTGAAGTAAGTAACCTCCTATAGAACCAGAGCCTCACAATCCCCAGTTCACTTATTCATTTATTTATTTATGAGTCAGAGTCTCACTCTGTCACCCAGGCTGTAGTGCAGTGGTGCAATCTCAGCTCACTGCAACCTCGGCCTCCCAAGTTCAAGCAATTCTCCTGCTTCAGCCTTCCAAGTAGCTGGAACTACAGGCGCTTGCCACCATGCCCAGCTAATTTTTGTAATTTTAATAGAGATGGGGTTTTGTCATGTTGGCCAGGCCGGTCTCGAACTCCTGACCTCAAGTGATCCACCTACCTTGGCCTTCCAAAGTGTTAAGATTACTGGCTTAATCTCAGTAATCCTGGTGGCTGGCTTAAAGCCATGGAACCCGGCCCCCAGTTCCCACTCTTAGAGATGCACCTGTCATTGTAAATGAATGCTCCCACCCTGGTTGAAATCCTGAAGTCCTTGACAGGTGTTGCTGGTGGCTTTCAGGGACAGCTTGGGCAGGTGAGACACCAAGGCCCCACAAGCGTTCGAAGGGAGCCTGCAGAGTTGGAAATAAGCCCTTTGATTTCATTGAAAGTAAAACAAGTCTAACTTGGACTTGTTTCTTATTCATGATCGTTTTTGCTCACAGCCATAGTTTCAGAAAATACGATGATCTATTCCAAAATCATTTTCATTCAAGAAAGCTTTCAGCCTCCTCAGTAAAAGTCCACCAGCCTCGTGGGTGTCATTCCCGGGCCCCTCCTGAGTCTCCGGGTTCTTACCGCCTTCAGAGGGAAGATTCACATTTGGCCATGTGGAAAAAGAGGAATGCATAGGAAAAATCAGTCCGTGTGGCCAATGCCTGCATCCTTTTTCCATAAAGAATGTGGAGGTGCCTCCTTCTTGGTGACTGAAAACTCATAAACCTCAGCAGCACATTTGCAAGTCAACTTGCCTCTTGGCTGTTTCAGGTCACAAGTCAGCACCTGCTTGCTGGTCACCGACGCCAGAAGCCAGCACAGGGTCCGCCTCCCACACAAGCTGCCGGGCATGCACTACAGTGCCGACGAGCAGTGCCAGATCCTGTTCGGCACCAATGCCACCTTCTGCAGAAACAAGGAGGTAAGCGGCCATGGGAGGGCCGGCTCGGGACAGACCATGGCTCCCGCCCTCCCGCAGCAGGTCTGGCTTCTGCTGGAGGACGTGGGCATTCACACTCAGCACATGCACCCACACGCACAAGCGCACACACACATATGCACACAGAGATTCACATACAGAGACAGGCATAAACACACCCTCACAGGCACCTGCACATGTGCACCCCACATAGCCGTACACACATACACACCTACACACACAATTGCAGACACACATCTCCACACAGCCCCCCCCAACACGGGCACTTTTGCAGGGGAATGCCTCAGGGTTACCACTGACTCCGGTAGCCTGACATTTTAGTATGGAAACCTTAGGACACTAGAGGTGTAGAACACCGTCACCTGACTTCAAACCCTGCGTGGATAAAGAAGAGAGTTAAAACTATGAAACATTTGAGAGTATCAAATTGGGAAAATGTAGCAAGTAATAAATTGGCCGGGCGTGGTGGCTCACACCACGGCTCCCGGTACTTTGGGAGGCAAAGGCAGGTGGGTCATGAGGTCAGGAGTTCAAGAACAGCCTGGCCAAGATGGTGAAACCCCGTGTCTACTAAAATTACAAAAATTAGCCGTGTTTGGTGGCGGGCACCTGTAATCCCAGCTGCTCGGGAGGCTGAGGTAGAGAATTGCTTGAACCCGGGAGGCGGAGGTGGCAGTGAGCCAAGATTGCACCACTGCACTCTAGCCTGGGTAACAGGGTGAGACTCCATTCAAAAAACAAACAAAAAAAGTCATAAATTCATTATATGATAATAACCCCATAACAGTTACCGCTTATTAAGCAATGCCTATGTGTTTGGTACGAACGCTTCCAACATGCGTGATCCCAATTAGTCTGCACCATAACTCCCGAGATTCCACCCCTGGTTCCCGGATGACAACACCACGTCGAAGCAGGTGAACATTCAGAATGGCTTGCTTAGTAGGTAGCAGAGCAGGGATTTGAACTCAAGCCTCTTTCACCCCCAAGTGCACACTTTTTCACCATGGTGCAAACAGCAAGGTCCAGAGCTTGGCTGGTTTTATGGGTGGGGGTTGCCAAGAGGGGCATATGGGTACCCAGGGCACAGCAGTCTGCATGCCTGTGGCCGTCTGTGTAGCAGACAGGGAAGGCCCTGGCCACAGGGAGACACCAGGAGCCCGTGGTCCAGCTGGCCCTGGCAGTGACTGGGCTAGGGCAGCAGAGCCTGTGCCATCCTGCGGAGGAGGAGGACAGAAGTAGAGGAACCAGGTCGGGGCACGTGCACCTCAGCAGCCAGGCAGCGGGTGGTCAGCCTGAGGGAGGGCGGTCCCAGCACTGGTGCTCAGAATCGCACCTGGTCCCCAGGAGGATGTGTGGACGGCTGGGCAGGTTCCTGAATCACGCACTCGGAGCAGCACCAAGGCACACAGGTACACACAGGGCTGCCTCCAGAATGTGGTCCCAGTGCCCATTAGCCCAGATTTCTGGAGACAGATGCTGCCTCTTGAGTGCTTCCTGTCTACATGTGTGTTCATTTAGGAAACTGGGACACAACCTGCAGGTGGGGCATCGCCGGCCATTTTGGGGGTACATAAAGGGCAGCTCCTCAAAGCCAGGCGGTTGCTGCCTCCTGGCTGTTTCCCCAAAGGACATTTCCCCACACTGGAGTGCTGATTCTCCCCTGCCATGCCCCTGGGGAGCGTGCCTGCGAGGGTCCCCTCCAGAGACTGATGGGAAGCTGTCACCCATGTCAGTGTCCTACTGGCTGCTTGTACCTCCTGCCCCAGCCACAGGGTTGAAGGACACCTCTATGGGGAGGTGTAATGAGCCCTAGGATGGGATTGCCCCCTGCATCCTGCAGCGGTACCCAGACTCCCTCAGCCGCTGTGTGGCTTGACCGCTAAGGCTCTCATGCACATACACAGTGCCTGCCAAGAGGCTTCCTATCTGCCTGTCCCCCTCTGCATGGATGGTACAGAGATGCCAGGAAAGAGCAGGTTTCAGGGTGTCCTTTGATGGTGTGGAGACCACATGAGATCGTGTGGATGGGATAACCAGGGAGGACTTAAGGCAGAGAAAAGGGCCCCAGACACCAGGGGTGGGGAAGTGGATAGTGCCCAGCTGAGCCAAGGGCAGAGTGATCCGTCTGCCCTGGAGTCCTCCCCAGGGCTGGTGAGATGTGGCAGGCCAGGCTGAGCGGGTCCTACAGGGCAGAATTAAGTGGGGCGGGGGCTGGGCAGAGATTGCCTGCTCCCTGAGAGCTGGAGCTGTTTTGCTTTCTAGGAGCCAAGCCCTTGCATCCCAGTTGGACTAGGAGGGACCGAGGGAGGGAGACACGTGTACTGGGGGCCCACAGTCTCCCAGGCTGGGTTTGCCCTGGCACTGTCACACACAACCCTGACTGCAACCCCAAAGGTAAGGGATTTTAACTTCACTCTAACAGATGAGAATGTGGAAGCTAAGAGAGACTAGGAAACAAGCTAGGCTCACCCAGCTGGAAAGCGAGGGGCCAGAAAGCAGGCCAAGATGTATCTGTTCCTGAGGGAGGAAAGGAAAGCTCCTGTCATTCAGAGACCTCAAAGAGGAGGTAGGGGATGTGGTATTTTATTTCCCTTCAGAATCATCTTTTTATTAGAATTATTCAATTAGAAGGCAGCAAGGATTGATTAGCTCAGCTTTGTGGCTCCTTTCTCCCTAGAATCTCAAAATCCAAGTGCTTATCTAGTGAGATCTTCCCATGAGCAGGTTACAGGGAAGCTGGGCGTTTAATCCTGGGCTCTGTAGCAACTGCAAACTATGTTTTCCTACTTGCTTTTGCCTTGAGGGTTTCACAGCAGTAAAATAAATGTGTGTTTTCCTCTCCAGTAACTAGCAGAAATGATTTCTTAGGGGAATGATAGAATGACAGTCCCCTTGATGGCCACCAGTCTCAGCTGGTTAGGGGTGACTGTCCTGCTTGCAAGGCTAGTGACACTTCCTTTAGAGGAATAAGACCGTGAGGTCGCAGTGACCCTGCACACTGAAGAAAATGTCACACTCATACTCTTTTGCACTACTGGGGAGGAAAATGCAGAAGACCGGACACTTCCCTGTGAACCTTTGAGAACCGAGGACTTGGGGGCCTGCTCCCCTAGGCCTGGGACATGTGTCAGTTAAGTCCAGGTGAAGACAATGCAACACTCCAGGGCTCCAGGGCCTGCTGTGTCACCAGTCTGCGCCGTCCCTGCTTTTGTAGACTGTGTTGTGGCTGATGCTGGGTGTGGAGAGCATACGTATGCTGTTGCCCCTTCATTCTTCCATGCAGTGCGCCTTGTTGGTGTGGGTGTGTCCCCCGCCCACCTTCCTTCTGGGCCTCTCCCTGACCTGCACTTACTCCGCCCTGCACTTACTCCCCCTGCACTTACTCTGTTCTAGCTGTACTGGATTTTCTGTTCTTCTTGGACCCCACCAGAGAGCACTTGCTTCATGCTGGCTGTTTCTTCTGCCCTGCCAGTCTTCTCCCAGTTATCTGCATGACTGACTCCCTCATCTCTTTTGAATTCTGTTTATTTTTTTTAATGTAAGCTTCTCAATGAGGCTACCCTGACCACCCTTCCTTAAGATGACAGTCCAGTAGCCTCTGCACACCTGTGTAGCATCCGCCTCTCCTAATTCATTAAAGGAAAGCCCTGCTTTCAGACACTTACCCTCTTTTAATGTGCTCTGTAGCTCACCTGCTGATTACACCTATTCCTGAGACTCCCTCTTCTAGATTATAAACCCTTCCAGAGCAGCAGTCTTTGCATCTGCTCACCAGTGTTTCTGAACTGCCTTGGACAGTACCTGGCATATAGTAGGTGCTCCATAAGTATGTGTTGTGCTGAGATCCAGTCCAGCCATGACCCTAACAGCAGATTTGTTAAATCTGCCTTATGCGGCTTTGCTCAGTTGTTAATGAACCTATGGAAAAGCTCAGATTTGAGGAAGAAGCCCTTAGAGACCTGCCTGTGTGATGTATTACTCTATAAGCCTGATTTCACCTTTCTCTGACTGCCCGTCTGGTTCACCAAGATAACTCGTAAGACTTGGTCAGTTGTCTTTCAGGGGTTCATATAAACCATTTCCATAGCTTCCTCCCAGAACAAGAAGCAATTCAAGGCACTGCAAAGAGTCTGGCAGTGAGTGACTTGCCAGCTGGTTCCTAGAGATCATCTCTCTCTATGCCTTAGAGTCTTCATTAGTAAAACTCAGGCTTCTGGTCAGTTGATACATGACAAGTGTGGGGAACTGGGTCTGTCATAAGGTTGGTGCCAAAGAGGGCGAGCTGATATCTGTGTTATTACCTTTCTGGATAATACCGATTCCCATTTGTGGTGGGGAACAGAGATAATTTATCTGTACGTCTCCAGGATCAGCATTTCTCTATATTGAACTCCCAGGAGCTGTGGAAGATTAAGCATCATCTAAAACCTGTCCTGTTCATTCAGCCAGAGACACCAGAGCCAATAAGAAAGGTCTTTTAATCCAGTGCCATAATTGACTTTTAGAGCCATTATTTCTCTTTCACGCCCCTGCAGACTGAAATGGATATCATGTAATGAAATGATCACCATCCCAAAGTTGCTTTTAAATTTCTTATCCCAACGTTTGCTTTCAGACAAGACGGAATAACAAGGGCCTGATTTACTTTACTTCAGAAACAACTGGAAAAAAAAAAAAACAGATAAAATTTATGAAACAGTGATTTCCAAGACACTGGACATCAAGGAGCAAAGTCTTGGGATCCTTGAGAGGTGTGAAATAAGTAAGGTGAGCCCTCTGGTTGTCCTGACCTGTGGCCTGGACAGTCTCCAGTCAGTGGCACGGGGAGGGAGAGCTGCAGAGGAGCAGCTCCGAGTCCTCCTGAGTTGAGGAAACACAAATGGTTGTACAGGGAGCCAAGGCAACTAGGGTTCACAAGGCAGAGGATCACAGAAGAAAGAGCTAGCTGTGGAGAGAACTGGAAAGTCTGCAGAATCCCC